TATATATATATATATAGTATATATATATATATATATATATATATAGGCCTATATATATATATGTGATAGATGGGTGTAATTGTAGATTGGGCTATCTATCATACATACACATATTGCGGTAACTCGGTGATCAGGCAACACAAACAGGCACAAAACGACAACGAAATTTCCCAACGTTAATTTTTCCAACATTTATTGTAGGGTTTTTAAAATGTAACAAAACCATGTGAAACAGTTCATAATGGTACCTGTTCATATAACGAGATTCTTATCACCTGAACCATCTCTCAATTGTTGTCTCAGTGACATGGTAACCATCGTAACAATGACATGTGAAATGAACTATTCCTGCCTATGAAACGCCCAACAGCCGCCAGTTTCATCCGCTGCAGGGCGCTCTTATCTCTGTAGATATGAGAGATGCCATTTTCTTTCATAACACGTACAGTGCACAGAACAATGGCTCTGGTATGTACACCTCAGCTCTCGACTTTCAATATCTTAATAATGATGATAAATCATATCATAATTACATATTAAAATCTATATCTACAGAAGTAACGAACTCGTCCACTAGAGGGAGCGAGAGACAGCGAGACCTGGCTGAGGTCGACAGAGGGTGTATAAAGAGGGGAAAAAACGGCCGGTGAAAACTCTCCAGTGAAGTCGCATACCTTCAACAGTAGACGAATGGCACATCTTCGAATAGGATTTTTCATTTGGCATTCGGTTGAGTGTTGACGGGGTGTGTGCGCACGCGTCGCAGGGTGACAGTGCGCGCGCACGGGGCGCTTACACGCACGCGTGCGGCGTCTGCTACTCGGCGCACGTGATCACTCTCCGCCCGCGCCCACGGAGACGGGCGCCATGGTAACGCGACCGCAGCGCCGCCTCCAGAGGGCGCGCCGGTGCGCGAAGATGTCATCGATAGTTAACATTAATATCTTGCTAATACACCATGATAAAGAGATGAAAAAATGCCGTATATATTGCATCAACACCTGTACAGAAACAAATCTGCGATACACACAAACCACACTTCTCATGCGTATAATCACTGAATCCACGGAATAAGTTAAGGATGGCTGAAGCCTAGCCTGTATAAAACCACGCCTATCGACGTCCAGCAATAATATCTCTACTACAAGCAGCATATGGCAACGCGCGGTAAAACCTAGCCTTTTTCTCTCTTCTCACACACATTGCGTTTTTCCTGTTTATTACTCATAGCCTATTTATTTATTTATTTATTTATTAGTTATGCATGCTCTTTTCACACACGAAAGTAAAAATTCTCTATTTACAAAGGACATTTTCAACTGGCTTCCTACAGCAGTTTTCTGCGTGCCCGTTCGAGGCTCCCTCTGGTGGCGACCTTCTCACCTGCCGAGGTCACAGCTACTGCCCTACTACAATCACAGCTTACTGCCCTGCGTGCCACTCGCATCCCCCTATAGCTCGCGTTTCGATCTCCGCGTCTCTTATCGCTGCTTCTCTCTTTGTTCGCAAGGGTTTATCGTGGCGAGTGGCGCGCATTGCTAACTAACGTGGCTCTATCTGTTACATGGCTGTCGTTCTCCATCTAAGACAGCGCCAAGGCACTCCTTCTCTCTCTCTCTCGCTCTCTTCTCTCTCTCTCTCATGTCTGACATATGCACCTAACAGAGCCGGCAGCGGCAGCGGCGGCGGCGGCGGAGGCGGCCCTCCCACACTTGTGCGTCTCGTTTCCGCGTCACACGATCTCCCTAATGACGTCATCATCTACCTCGCGTGGCACCTTAGCTGGGGCACGGACAGAAAACTGCTGCTGGGATGGTGTGTGGTGGTGGGTGGGCAGCCGCGGGGGGGAGGGGGAGGGGACGCGCGACACAGAGCTCCGTGCCCCGGCTACCCTCGCACGCGCGCGAGTGGGGGGAGGGTACTCCGGCGCCGATGCTGCTCGGCCGCGCGCCAACCTCCGGCGCCCCCTGGCGTCGGCACACCCCCTACCGGACCCGGCGGCGCCGGGAACGCACGCACGCACGCACGCACGCATGCACGCGTCTGTGGCTATGTTCGCGATTGCAGCACCTTCCTCAACAGTTAAACATAAATGTCGGCAATCCTGGGCCGTAGGACGGGGGGAAGGGCCGGGTTTGTCGACAGAGCGGAGGCAATGCCGGAGGGCGGGTTGCCCCGCTCCATAACTACGACAACGACGTTGGGCGGCAGCGGCAGCGGCGGTGGCCATTTCGAAATCTGTCGTTGCAGCGGGGGGGTGGGGGATTTTAACGCGGATGCTTGCATGAGTTTAAGGGGTGGGGTGGGGAGCAGTACTGTTTGATGTAAGTGTGTGTCTGCGTTGCGAGTGGGAGGGGAGGGGGTTTATTGGGCTCGATGCCTCGATGCGTCGGTGGGTTGTCTACCACCTGGGTTGTCCTGGTCTCAGCGAATCGAACTGACCGGCTTGATACGCCATGGAGGCCCTCGGTCCCATGTAGCGGTCAAGTGTCAGCTCCCTAGCGGTCGGAGCTGCAAGAGAGGAGAAGAATAAAACACGATGTAAGAAAGTGAGGCGTACATATAAGCAACTAAGCAATACCCGACGTACGCGCTACTGCTACTGTCACCAAGTTACTGTCCCCCTATGTCACCAAGTTACTGCCCCCTCTGTCACCAAGTTACTGCCCCCCTCTGTCACCAAGTTACTGCCCCCACCCCGATGGAAGGCATGTACGATGAAATACGAGAGCGATACCCGGCTGAAAAGAAACGAATCATTCGAGCAGGTGTGAGCTGTCTTAGCTTCAAATTACGCGGACCCGCAAGAGTCGACATGCACGCGCGTACAGTAACACGTGCGCTTCGTCATAAACGAAACGAGAACAAAATATGCGATTCATGTAAAAAAATACACAAAGTATACAACACAGCTTACGCGCACGAATATACTATAAATATATGCACAACACCCGAACGCTTTCTCACACACACACACGCACGCACGCACGCACGCACACACACACACACAGACACACACACACACACACACACACACACACACACACACACACACACACACACACACGTGCGCGCACATATACACGCGCACGCACGCACGCACGTGATTTGTAAAAGCAACAACATCAGAGTCGACTCCACCTACAACAAGTAGACATCACTATGATATCGTGGTCACATACGTCATTCAACACGAGTGACATCATTATGAAATGTAACGACTGACCTACGCCAACCTCCCAAAACACCCAGACGCACTAAGCAACTATGCCGGATGGACTATAGGCAGCCAACGGCTGCATAAAAGCCAGCTAAACAAAAATTCGTACCAAACACACAACTTCTACTACCACTCCTATACGACTAGCGCTGATGCCTATAGCACCCCCCCTCCCCCAACACAACGTCTAAATTCGGCGATGCACACACGCGAGTTTTGCCATCCGAACCTCCAGCCCGCTCTCGCGACTGTAGGATAATGCTGAATATTAATGAACACATTTAGGCGGTCCCACGTCTATTACGCGAACTAGCGAACGCGATATCGACATCATATCGTGGCAAAAAACTCGTGAGTGTTCACACACCGACACGAAACCTATTCAAAAACATGCTGCTAATAAAACGACGCCACCTACTAAAATATACGCCGACGAGAAGATGACACATGGCACGCGCATGCGCGAAGCTAGCGTGCATACACACGCGCATTCGCGGAACCAGCATGTACGCCGGGTAGGTAGAGGGCGCTAGGGGGCATCAGCAGCGCCACATTTTTAAAACAAGACGCCATCTAATTGTGAATATATGTTGAATATAATGTTGAATATATGTTTGAATATATCTATGGACAAATCGACGCACGAACGACACAGATATAATAAATTAGTGCATGGGGGGAGACGGAAACGTAGGGGTAAAAACTATAGGGCAGTGACGAAGTGCATTTGCTTCTCCCGTGACGTGAGAGACGAGACGCCCTGGCAGACGACAGGTGATCAGATGCATGTTCATGTATTTCATTTGTTTGCGCGTAAGTGGTCAAACCGGAGCATGCTGTCGTTCATGTTAGTCCGCCTACAACTGCGTATCCCATAATAAACATGCTGGTCAGCCGACGACCGTGACGTCACAGCTATCGTTACGTCACGACATGCAGGAGGCGACGGCGACTACGCATGCGCACACACGCGCTGCAGGTTACGCCAATCAGAGACGATGAGGGACGTGGGAGGGTACGCCGTAGTATAACGCTCAGAAGACAAAATGCTATTATTTTGAAGATGATCAACAGTTAACCAAATAACACAGAAGACGTAACCCCCCCCCTAGATCACCACCGGTTATGGGTCTAATAACTCAACTGGCAGGACCAGTAATGCTAACTTCGCTGGTTTCCTGCGTAAAATGGCAGTCCGACTCCAAAGCAGGGAAAAAATTAAAATTTATTTTTCGGGGGCTACTTTTCAAGCTCGCGTGCATGAAAATAGCACGCTAAAATTTGATTTGCATTGAACTCAATGCAACTAAACTATGCAAATTTCCGGGGTTCTTTTTGGCATTTCGGGGGCTAAATCGCCTCGAACCCCCGTGTATTTTTTTCACTGCTCCGAAGAATGGTTAGGACCCGTGGAAATCAAGCTATCCTAACTACGTCTACCTTACGAACAGCCCAGAGAGCATGCACTAGGGGAGTCAGAGCCCGGGAGTCTTAAGACAAAGTTGCTTTGGTGTAACACTAAAAAGATCGTAAGGGGTGTACTAAATCGCTATTCTTTATCTACCTGTATGTTAAGTTTTGGTCAAACTAGAGCCTGTACCTAGCAGAAAGTTAATACTGAAACCCAATGGAAAATGTCCCGAATCCAAGCCAAATACCGGACAGCAATTTTACCCTTTATTTTGTAGTTATGACACCATCTTCGTCCCCCCTCCACGATACCCTTCAGAATCACTCATCCTCCTCCTCCGCTTCCTCTCTTCGTCTTCTATTCGTGTTACGTACTACAGCGTGACAACGTGCACGACAAGGGAGCTAGTCTAGAACACATGACCTATTGTATATTGTATTGTAGACATGAAGTATTGTGAGACATGTCTTCTAGACTAGGGCCCACGACAAGCGACAGCATTACTACTACTACTACTAATAATAATAATACTAACAATAATTGTAATATGAACAACAACAGGCTTATTATTACGACGTCGACTGCACCTCTCTACGACAACATGGAACCATGCGCGGCTATGTGACGTCACGTAGCTACTACGTATATACTCTCACACGGACAGCACAGTGAACGGCTGGCTTACCTTCGTGGTACGGGTTCTGTACATGGCGCATTACTGAGGAGTCCAGGGTAGCGGAATGGCAGGCAAAATAGAAAGTCATCGGTGTGTTAATGTGTGGATAAGCAGCATTCTCGTTGCAGCAACCGACCGTTAGGTGGCGGGACGGGCGCGGCTACGTCTTACGTAACGTCAGATGATGTCACCAGCGCCGGTAGCGACCGTGAATGTTACAAAGAGACCAAGCGACCGCACAAGCAATGACCCCCTTCCCCCATGCGGCGCACGCCGCTGGGGGAAAGGCGGCTTCTGAAACGACTATTACCGGATGAATATATAAGAATGAAACGAGAGAAGCATCAGCTTATAAAACGTTGCAATTTCTGCAACCGCGACATTAAATCAAACAAATTAAGTATTGACGGGGGGGACACATCCGGGGGGGGATGACCGACGGTGGTGACATCTATCGACATGTTACGAAGACATCTATCGACAGGTTACGAAGACATCTATCGACAGGCTGATTACCTTCTAGCAGCCAATAACTGCCTACCGTAGAGAGAGAGAGAGAGATAGACACACACACACACACACGCACACACACACACACACACGCGCGCGCGCGCGCGCGCACACACTGCACAGCAAACCAACTCGCACACGCGCTCATTATCACAGCGTGCCATCATCTCACACCGACACACAGGCCGGAGCGAGTCAAGACCCCTGTTACGTGATGATATCTCTGTTCCATGCCCATGCAACGCCTATGTTAGACACGTAACTATCCGCAGCAGCACGCTGCGGCGAGCTGCAGAGAGAAAGATATATAGAGGGTATTGCCTTCTCTACTGGTCTGTCCACTCTTCACGTTATGTGTGGATATCCATCGCCGTAGTCGCCGTTATAATGGTAAGAGAATATGGAGCCGTGACCCGGACGGTGTGACAACAGTGATTAGTGTGATACAGCTCAATGTGTGACGTCAACGCGCCGCGTGCATGTGAGGGGTTGTGCGTGCGCGGATTAGCTATATGGCTATAGAAGCTTCCGCACGGGTGGCGTTTTATAACAAGCAAACCTCGCCTGACCGCTCAGCCACCTCGGCCAAGACAGCAATATACCCGCGACACGCGCGCACGCGAAACACAGCGCCTCAACGACTTCAGCTACCTACTTACACACCGTCATCAGCTTCCTATTCACGACGACAGTGAGAACGTGCCTCGCTACCTACGAACGTGAAGCGCAAGGGAGATCGAGCCACTCTCAGAGAAAAGGTGGCGAAACGCGATTAGAAGAACGTGATAGAAGAACGACGAATGAGGCACGCCGCACGATAGGTCAATGCCGTCACCAGGGGGCGCTCACGATCGTCTCGTCTGGATTCTATTGTGGTCGTCGGCGTGTGTTATACGTAATTAGTGAATCTAATTAGTAAGTATAGGTAATTATCAACCGGCCACGCTTTGTTTTAACTCGGCTAGTCCTTACGACTCTCCAACGGTGTTTCAATCCAATTTCTCCATCAGTACCCCCCTACTTTCTATCAGTATCCCGTTTTCTTTTGGTACCCCCGTCTTCTGTACGGTACGAGTTTCCTACACCCCTACATAAACAATAGCGTAATAACCTCTAAAATTATTGCTAACCTTCCCGCAATTAATATTATATCCCTCCAGCGGTGTAGCCCTTATCACTCATTATTGGCACGTCCATTTTCTCTAATAGCGTATCCCCTACATTCAAATGTTATCCCCTTGTTCCTCTAGTACCGTATCCCCTACCCAAATTACTAGCCCATACCTACCATGCCCCCTAACCACACCTTTCTCGCATCATTATTCAACGATGATATATCCTTGATTATATGCATGCTAGGGGTTTACCACACACATAGACGCGCAGGGGTAGACGCTGTGGAATCATCCAGCGCCGCACGTAGACAGCAGTGTATTAGCACCGCCTGTTGCTACCCGATGACGTCACGAGGCACTAAATATGGAGGGTATGTGAATGTGACGTAGTATATGTAAGATAGAACACGATACGAGCAGGTGTTAGTTATTAATTATTATTATTATTATTATTAGTTATTAATTTATTATTACCTCAACCTAGTCCCATAGTTCTAGGCTCCCCCTTAAGGTTCACACGCCACGCAGCGCCGCTACAGTCCGCTATTAGGTGACATTTCCTGCGGCGCGCGTGGCAACAATGGGGGGGGGGGGGTCCTGACACGCGCTGCACCGCTAGGTTAGCAGGACAGCAGCAGCAGCAGCAGTTGTATTTAGGGTGGATTGCTGCTACACGCGCGCAGACGGCCGTTACCGTAATCACGTTCACTCCCCAGTAACCTTCGATCACCTGCGTCTGTAACGTTGTAACGGTGTAACGTGTTGCAGGGCCGTAGCCAGAGATAAATTTTGTAGGAGGCAAATGTTGCGAGTTAAAGAACAAGGAGCGAAGCGAGCCAATAGGGCATGGGGTATGGGGCCCGGTTAATATTTTTTTGTTGAGAAATTTTGTAGGAGGCATTTGCCTCCTATTGCCTAATGGTAGCTACGGCCCTGACGTGTTGTCCTACACGTCTATACCATCGTGCGAGAGAATACAGGTATATGAGGATAGTACAGGTGTGCATACACACGTACGTACGTGGGGGTTGTGTCGCGGACGCGTGCATTCGTCCCGCCGAATTCGGAGTTCCGCCACGAGCGAAGTATGCATAACAAACGCCTTTATTACGTTTAGTAAAAATCGCAATTAATAAACAATTATTATTTAATTAATTTGTTAATGAAATCGAACGAAGAAGAAGAAGAAACGAGTCACAACGCACGCATTAGAATTATAAGCTAGAATACAATCAGCGGTGTAATGTAGGAGCAACGACTACTACTACATCGCCGATTGGCCGGGTGAGACGCGCGTGTGTCGCTGGCCACCGGTCAAATAGCACACCGACCGCCAGTCATGCAAGATCTTCTCAAAAAAACTCAGGCGGTGTCAACAACAAAATCCAGAGCAGATCATTATATGAGAGTGTGTGTGCAGGGGGGAATAAGCGGCCGTACACTCAGCCGACGGGCATCGTTTTAGAGAGAAAGTGTCAAAAAACGGGGAGGGGAGATGTAAAATCAATGCCTGATGGCGACGAATACCGTTCTTAAAACCTCCTCTCGAGTCGAATATCATCCGTAGACGGTGCTGGAAATGGCATCAAACACGATTCAAACGAAACGAACTAAAGACAAGAAGAGAAGGCTACGCTAGGCTCTACTTTGGCGACAGCTAACACAAGACGTTGACACAGAAAGCGTCTAATAGCTATTAAAAGAGCAAACGTCAGAATTATAGACTAAAACTACGCGCACGCCACATTTCAGCTTTAGATTTAGCATTAGAGCCAGGAAGCAAGTAGAAGAGATAAGAAATCCGAATAAGCATTGTAAACAATTGTAAAATAACTAAATCTACACAGATGCATTGGCAAGAATATTAATAGCAATTAAGTAAGTAATTATATATATATATATATATATATATATATATATATATAAGAGAGAGAGAGAGGGAGCGAGAGAGAGAGAGAAAGATAGCGAAGTAGACTAATAGACAGACAGGCAGACAGATAGATAGATAGATAGATAGATAGATAGATAGACAGATAGATAGATAGATAGATAGATAGATAGAGAATTAGAGAGTGTGTGCGCGCACGCGTGTGTGTGTGTGTGTGCGTGTGCGTGTGCGTGTGCGTGTGCGTGTGCGTGTGCGTGTGCGTGTGTGTTCGTACGTGTGTATTTACGTGAAAGAAAGCGAGCAAGAGAGACAGACAGAGAGAGAGAGCGAATGTGTGATAATTAGATAATGATACAATGATAGGGAAACACTTTGAGATGCATGCGGGTATTGATGATGTTACTAGCTTCGCATGATTAATCGAGAAACACAGCCAATATCCAGCCGACGAACAAATCTTTAATATAAAAACAGAATTTTAGAATAAATACATTCTACACGAATTAGCACGCGTGGACTGAGAGCAGTGTGGCGGCAAGCGTGGTATAGCTACATTGTTAGAGCACTCATGTGTCCATGTGTCGCGGTTAGTGTTACAGCGTTAGATGAAACAGCACGGTAACCATAGCAACGTACGCCGATAATGGCAACATTGCAATTACAGCGCGGAAATAAAGTCAGTTCAAGCCAAAGTTACACCAACATCAAGCGGTTATACGTACGACGAACAGTTAAAGAGGGCGAACCCGGAATGAACATTGTAGCCATGCTGGTGAGGGGTGGGTGGGGAGAGGACAAGGAGACACTTGCTAATAAAACAACATGTACGCGTTTTTGTGGTGCGTCGCTGTACCCAAAACCTCTAACACGATCCGCGAGGTATCGCCCCATCCTAGCTCCCACACCACCTCCTCCCTGCGGTCAACTAATTTAGATTTTTCCATCGGTTAAAATCGCGTAAAAAACGATAAAACAGCGTGACATGTGAGAATACGCAGTTGGCGGCGGCTACTTTTTACGATGTGACTTTAACAAGGCAATAATTATGCTACCGTTTTCACGCCGGTGGCTGCGAACAAGGCAGCTTCAACACAGAATAGATGACGCGCCATTAAAATAACTGAATCACGTAAAGTCGAGCCCGTGAACGGCCACAGGTGGCGCTAGCTGTCCTTCACAGCCTATATATGCTGTAGTATTTACAATAGATACAGATATGTCGTTGGCAACCGGCCCCCCCTGCCACGGTATCACCACCTCCTCCTCCTCCTCCTCTTCCTCCTATCATCAGACGCGCATTTCGAAATCAAAACACATTAATTAAGGCACAGCCACGAGTCTGAACACACTCTCGATACAGAAACACAATTCTCCTACTAGAAGCACCAACCGACCACGGCGATGGCCACTGCCCAGCTCTCAGAACTGCGAAAAATTAACACCCCGGCTAAGGATCGTTGCCGCCAACGCTACTACTATAAAGTTTAATGTCAGTCTAACTACTCATCACTCCCACCCATCGCTCAAGAGGACACCCCTACCGCGAAAATGATCGACGCGGCATCTGGTCTTTGGCAATGACGGATACAACTGCGGGACACACAATTCGTTCGCACGCAGGTAATCGAACTTCGGATGATAGCTCCCGACCGACCACGCACCGACGTTAGATCGATGTTGTTCACCATGACGCGACCTGTTCTCCGCCTCTCTCCAGCCAACGACGACCGACAGCGAGTCGCCACGCACTCGCGCATTCAACATATACATAGCATAGACGGCGACGACGTCTGACGCCGAAGGTTGCCGTGACGACCGACCGTTTGCGACGGGCAGCAACGCGAGGCCGGGCAGACGCGCGCCGCCCAAGGTCGACGGAAGATCGGCGGGATCGCCCCTTCACCGCCCGCGGTTCCCCGCAGAGATTTTGTTAGTAAGAGAAGAGGTCGCCTTGCAGGTCAAAAGGTCGCCTCACAGGTAAAAAGGTCGCCTCGCAGGTCAAGAGGTCGCCTCACAGGTCAAAAGGTCGCCTCGCAGGTCGCGAGAGGTGAGTAACGAGAGAGAGAGAGAGAAAGAGAGAGACGCGGACAGTTAAAACGGGTAGTAGAAGATGACGGCAAAGTAAACGCCCCACATGATGACGATGAGATGCGCGTCATGCAGCAGACTAGTGGCGCTACCTTCTGTGAACTTGCGCGCGATAAACTTGAGCGCTTCGTCCATTAGAATGACGGGTATGGACATTTTCATCACAGCCATCCACTCCTCGAACGTCAGCGGGCAAATCTGGAACACCACCTGTGGCGAGAGAGCGAAGCAGAGACAGAATTAGAGATTAGACAGAGATTTACCTCTTCCAGCACGTATAAGAGGAGTATTGCACGAATTACACAGCACAGCAGAGAAGCTGGAATAATCGACTGATGCGGTGCAGACTATTTGAATGCAAATTTCTCTTACTCGGCGCATTGCCGTTCAGAAATGTATCATGAGTGTGTATTTGAATGCGGCTGAAAAGGAGATTAGAGAAGGCTGAGAGAAGGTTGGGCCACAATTAAAAAAAATCTTTGTTTGCCCTCACCCGACCGAGGGTAAATTTGGGTAGGTAGGTAGACTTAAATTTTTGTTTGAGGAGGGTCTTTTTATAAATTCAGCATGGTGTCTACATGCTCAGGTGTGCTTGTGTGGAGATACCTTTTATGTTGAATGTTTTTTTGCTTGGTACATATAATGTATTGCCTACAGATTTATATAATGTACAGTGATACAATTTGTTAAAAAAAAAAGAATGGGAAATAATTTTTTTTTTTTTTAAATGGCGGTGAGGGCAAACAAACAATATTTTTATTATGGCCCGATGACGGCAGGCCGCCACGATGTATACATTCTGTACAGTTTTATTATGGCCTTGGTGCGACTTACGGACAGGACGTCGATGTAGAGGATCATGAAGTGCAGAGCCATGGAGAGCGCGATGCCTCCCAGCAGCCATAGGTTGATCCATGGTGGCATCACCAGCATCGACTGGTTCTCCGACAGACTGCGAGACAGAAGAGCAACGTTGTTAACCCGTCAACGCCACAACACGCAGCGCACGCACGATGTGCACGCACGTACCCCACCCGTCTTCGTACTTCTTTCTTCGTACACTTTATTAGAGGGGGTCTCGAAAAAATGTACTCTTTGTACACTGGTGAAAATGTTGATAATTGTGAACGACCCCTAAAAGGGGGCTTATGTCAGGCTTGCGAGCCGACTCGACTGGAAGCAACTGGCTGCAATTCACTGCGACTGCAGTGCTTAGGTCGGTCGACTGCGACGCGACTGCCTGCGACTGGCTGCCACTAGTTGCTCAGAATAAAACAGTGGGCAACTGGACGCAACTAGTCGCTGCCGATCGCTTCCAGTTGCTTCCAGTCGAGTCGACTCGCAAGCCCGACATAAGCCCCCTTTAAGCTGTCAAGGCCACAACACGCTGCGCACAAGATGTGCATGCACGTACCACTACCCCCGTCTCTTCACTGTTTAATTGACCTTTCTTGCCCTAGCTTTCTCTGAGTTACGGATAGGGAACAATAATATTTACCTTTCCTGTTCGCACTGCGAGTTTAGGACCAGGAACAATTTACTTTTCCTGTTCTTTCTGCGAGTTTAGCAAAGGGAACAATTTACCTTTCCTGTTCGCACTGCGAGTTTAGGATCAGGAACAATATACCTTTTCTGTTCTCACTGCGAGTTTAGGACCAGGAACAATTTACCTTTCCTGTTCTCACTGCGAGTTTAGGACCAGGAACAATTTACATTTCCTGTTCTCACTGCGAGTTTAGGATCAGGAACAATATACCTTTTCTGTTCTCACTGCGAGTTTAGGACCAGGAACAATATACCTTTCCTGTTCTCACTGTGAGTTTAGGACCAGGAACAATATACCTTTCCTGTTCTCACTGTGAGTTTAGGACCAGGAACAATTTACCTTTCCTGTTCTCACTGTGAGTTTAGGACCAAAAACAATTTACATTTCCTGTCCCACCAGCCGCGAGTGGAAAGACAGCAGAGAACAGGTGTGGTGACGAGGACAGGTACACCGCGGCGGACTCACCTGTTCAACGCGTTCAGCATCTCGATGGTGACGAGCACAGACAGCGCCATCGTCATCGGATGCGGGTCCTCAAACACCTCGCAGTCGATGCCCTCAAAGTTCTCCGGTTCGTTCGGGCAGGTCAGATGGTGCGTCAGCTGGAAGTAGCTCAGCTTCGGGCCGTTGTGGTAGAACATGTACCACCAGGCGGCCGATCCGACGGTGGCGGAGCCGACGTACACTGAAACGCGACAGCGGCAACACGTCAGACGCTCATCTTGATTATCGTGTCACAGTTAAAACGGGTAGTAGAAGCTGACGGCAAAGTAAACGCGCAGGTCGAGAGGTCGCCTCGCAGGTCAAAAGGTCGCCTCGCAGGTCGCGAGATGTGAGTAATGAGAGAGAGACGCGGACAGTTAAAACGGGTAGTAGAAGATGACGGCAAAGTAAACGCCCCACATGTGACGATGAGATGCACGTCATGCAGCAGACTAGTGGCGCTACCTTCTGTGAACTCTCGATTATCGCAACGTCTCGCGTCAACGCGCGTCAACGCCGAAACACGCAATCTCATGTCGTGTCACGTCGTCGTGTCACGTCGTCGTGTCATAGTATGGGTCTGCCATGCATCTTAGGAGCGGCGGGGAACACCCGCGATCGCGCGGACCCTTGTGCTACTTACTGCCGATGGCCATGTATCTGAAGAACAGCCATCCGGAGATGAGGGTCTCCTTGGGGCTGCGCGGCGGTTTCTCCATGATGTCGAGGTCGGGCGGGTTGAAGCCGAGGGCGGTGGCCGGCAGGCCGTCAGTGACCAGGTTGACCCACAGCAGCTGGACGGGGATGAGGGCTTCCGGCATGCCGAGCGCAGCCGTCAGGAAGATGCTGCCGAGAGAGAGAGAGAGAGGACGTGAGAGAGAGTGAGAGAGAGAATGATGACACTTACCTCACTACCTCACCGATGTTGGATGAGATCAGGTAGCGGATGAACTGCTTCATGTTGTTGTAGATGGCGCGGCCCTCCTCGACGGCAGCGACGATGCTCGTAAAGTTGTCATCGGCAAGCACCATCTCGGACGCCGACTTGGCGACAGCCGTTCCCGAACCCATCGCGATACCGATCTCGGCCTTCTTCAGCGCGGGAGCGTCGTTCACACCATCACCGGTCTGCGGGACGACAAGAGAGCATCAGCGTCAGTGGAGGTGTGGGCCGTCATCATGTGTCGGAGGAGCGAGAGGGGGCATGTTGTCCCCGGGAATGAATGAAGTCGTATCAGATTAGCGACGAGGTCGTGAGGGACTTCTAATTGACAGACTCCTTACGGTCAATACGCTAGGACGTACATAAATGCAACTTACATATTACAACGTATTATTAAAATGTATTCTTCCAAAGATATAATTATGATAAGGTATGGCAAATGCCATTTATGATAAAATCGCAGTTTCTATTTAATTCACCAATCTTTGCAGCGGCAGAAGTAGAAACGTCCGGCACTCGCAATCTTATACAACACGAACGCAATTAAATCGACTGCAAACCAACTGCAACTGCGCGCGCTCGCTAGCGCCACCTGTCGTCGCTCTCACGCACCATGGCCGTGATCTCGCCGTCCATCTGCAGGAAGTCGACAATCTTCGACTTGTGTGCGGGCTCGACGCGCGAGAAGAGGCGCCCGCGCGACACGGCCGCGTGCTGCTCCGGAACGCTGAGCGCGTCGAACTCGCGACCAGAGTACGACATGCCCTCGGTGCTCTCCGTCTCGCTGAAGACTCCGATGCGGCGGCAGATCGCCTCGGCCGTGTTCTGTAAAGTATACGGTGCGGGGGACGATGAAAGAGGAGAGTGGGAGACGGAGAAAGAGAGAGGGAGAGAGAAAGAAAGAGGGAGAGAGAGAGAGAGAAAGAGAGAGAGAGAGAGAGAGAAGAGAGAGGAGAGAGAGAAGAGAGGAGAAGAGGAGAGAGAGGAGAGAGAGAGAGAGAGAGAGAGAGAGAGAGAGAGGAGAGGAAGAGAGGAGAG